AAGCTTTGTGTTAGGGTGCAAAGTCACGCTTGGATGTGGTTTACCCTCTTGTATGTGTAAATGGCTTGAGTATTTCCTATAAATAGGAAGTGAGTGACTCTCATTATGTAAGAACTTGTAATGATCATTTTGGAGTGTTAGTTTTAGAGAGAGAAATAGCAAACCTATTTGGCGAGCTTAAACCTATATTTATGTACTCCATGTGTTCATGATTTGAATAATGACTCACTAGATCTTTCAAAATCCGCATTTGTCATCATAATCGACACCACTATAGTTGGTATCAGAGCGGGTGTTCTTGATTGGATCAAGAATTGATCCATGATGACATTTTAGATTTGGTGATTCTTTATGTTCTTATTGATCTTTGTGTTCATAGTGTGTTTTGTGTTCTAGAAATCAAAATTTTCCTTGATTTGATCCATAATTCGATTTTCTCTCTCTAGAATACTTTTTTGTACCACTTTCTCTTTGTAGAGATCTCTTTGATTATCACTTTTCTCTCTTTAGAAGAACTCAATATCTTATCGATTGCTCAAAGATGATGAACTTTCCGTATGATTCTTTGGTTGTGATCGTTGAAGATGTCAAATACAAAGTCAATGAAAATCAATTTTATGGGTTAGTGTTAAGCAAGTTGATTTCATGGGGTAATATGGTTTCTTATAGAGGTTTGAAGGATGATCATGGAAGCTTTATATTTCAAAGACTTTGTAAGATTAAATGGTTGAATAAAATTTCCTTGTCCATATTAGTACATAGTAGAAATCAAAAGGATGGAGAAGAAAGAGATTTGTTTAATAAGAAATACATTTCTATTATTGAAGACCCAAATGATCTTCATGCTCTTAAGTTTGTTGAAGTTCAAGACTATGGAGTTCAATGTGATGTTCTTGAAGTTCATGACAAGAAGATTCAAGTTGATTCTCATGAAGATGAAAAAGTTTTTTGCTCGATTGGAGTTCAAACCGATGATATTTTGTGTTCTTGTGATTCGTTTGAAGGAATGATTCCTTATTGAAAGCCAGTAATCCAAGAAATTCAAAAATATTAAACTCCAAAAGATTTGATTCAAACTTGTAAAGTTGAAGTTGTCAAGAATGAAGTAGTTCTTGAAATCAAATATTCAAGATGCAAAAAGATGAGAAAGAAAAAGAAGAAGAAGATTAAACGTAAAAACAAGCGGGTTTATTCACAAAATTCTTCAAATGTTGTTATAAAGCCGAAATCCATGAAGCAAACATGGGTTCCAAAGCAACAATCTCCAACTGTTGCATTGAGTTTAAATTCAAAACCCAAAAGTGCTGATGGTTCTTATGAAGATGTTCTTAGATCGTTGAAGAACACGAAGAATGAGTTGTACAACACGCATCGTGGGTGGTACAATGTTCAAATTGGAGATTTTCTCATTCCAACAAAAGAACCAAGATCTTCTAAATTTGATTCATTCGTTGCAAATGGAAATCAGATCGTCAAAAAGGTATCTCATATTGATTTCAAAAGTCCATGATTTTGAATTGTGCTTTATGTTTTACATTATTGATTGGTTTGTTTCGTTGGATCTAATCCGTTTCAACCCCATTGTTGATCCAAGAAAATTATTTTTGTTTAGATCAAAACCAAATTAAACTCATTTTTTTAATTCCACTGTTCATAGATCTAAATATTGAGACCAAATCAAAGCACATACTCAATCTAATACTTCTTATCATTGGTTATGAGCCCATTAATTTCTAATGATCCGATGTATTTGATTAAGTCCAAAAGTCGTGTGATTCTTTAAAGCCATTGTTCTTCTGTTGACTTGTACACCTGCTTTATTTGATTGTACCATCTGATCCATTCTCAATCGTTTCTTTATCTGACTGTTCACCAGTTCATAATCGGATTATTCTTGCATTTTCATTCTCGTTCTTTCGGTTTCTTTTCATTGTTTCTAATAATTGATGGTTGGTGTTTGTTAATCTGCGACTGGGAGCTTGATTTTGATTTCTAAGGTCGATGATTTTGATTTTATACAATTTGAAGTTGAAATCAAATTGAATGATGATTTGAAACTGATATTGTTGTTCGAGTCAAGTGTCAACTGTTATTGAATTAGAGTCGAGCGAGTTATAGATGAATTGAAATCGAAAGTATTTTGAAGTTGGAATCGACTTAGAGTTAATGTCGAGTTTGACTGATTTGATTTAGAATTGAGAATCGAAAGCTTAAAATTGGAATAGAAAATCAAAAGTCAACTGGTATTACTTGATGTCGTTTAAAATCAAACATGTTTGTTTGACTGGAGTCAAACATAATTGAGTCGACTGTGTTCATCGAGATCAAAACCTACAAGTCAAATAGAATGCTTGAGAATTCTAGAAATCGAAATGGGTCTGTTGTGTGATGATCGACAGATCGAGTTTGGTTTGGTGTAAAAGGCTTGATGTTTTGGGAAGATCTGTAGAACAAAGCCTATGATTTTGAGATCATATGAGGATTTTCAAAGTTCCGACTGGTGTTCGAATTCATTGAGTCCGATGGTTCGTTACATCTGATATTACATTGGAAAAGAAAGGAAAATGATTTATATCGATTTTGATCAGGAAGGATTGAGAACGAAGGTTGTTATCAATTCGGTTGAAATCGACATGAGAAGATAGTCACTTGGTTTGGAGATTGTGTTACTGAAAAGAAAAGGATGTTGAATCGATTTGATTTTGGAGTAGATGTTTTGATGTCGATGCCTGATTGTTAAAAGCGAAGCCTTGAGTATTTGAGTATTGGAGAATCAAAGTCTTTATATCTGTGTCAAGGTCAGTTCTTTGAATGATCCATAAATAATTCAGTGTTCGAATGGCTTCGTTTTCGACTTTCCTCTGACTGATTAAGAAGACGCTTCGTTGTTGAGGAACATACCCACTTCATTGACAAATTCTTGAGACAAAACAAGTTTCAATTTTGGTCCCTGATCTTTTAACGAAATGATAGAAATGACCCATAAATGGTGTAAAATTTTTGTGAAGAAGGATGAAGTTTCTCACTTAGCCCTTATAATTTTGAAATGTTGGCATAAATTATCCAACTTCGAAATTGGGCTAACAATTCTAAGAAATGGAGAATTTTACGAGTTCAGTCGATGCAGTTAATGCGAAGTTACACTTTATGCCCAGTTTCATAAATGGGGTAGAATTTCGCATCTTAAGCTGTTTTTGGCGCAACGAGTCCATATAGAATTATGAAAGTGGCAGTTTTTACCCGGTTTTTGGAAATTCTTGCAACTTTTACCCAAAAGTCAAAAATTTTCACAAATTTGGAAAGTTTTTGTGACTTTTTCGTGATTGTTTTTCCATACAAGTTTTTCGAGGTTTCATTTTTGGCACACATCAAGGGGGGTTTATGTGAAGATTATTCCTCGGGCGCTTCTCACCCTTAATGGGTTTTATAATCATTTTTTTATTATAAAAAGGGGGACAATGAAAAGTGGGTATTTGAAGCTTCTCGGGTTTTTCGGATATTCATTTGCGGATTTGAAGACTTGTATCATTTCGAGGGGAATTTGGTCTTGATCGCGTGAGCTCGTTGGATATTAAAGCCGGGACATCCAATCCTAACTTTGAGGGGGAGAATGTTAGGGTGCAAAGTCATGCTTGGATGTGTCTTACCCTCTTGTATGTGTAAATGGGTTGAGTCTTTCCTATAAATGTGAAGTGAGTGACTCCCATTATGTAAGAACTTATAATGATCATACTGGGGTGTTAGTTTTAGAGAGAGAAATAGAAAACCCATTTGTACTCTTTCTATCAAAAACTAATGAGAGCTTAAACCCATATTTATTTACTTCATGTGTTCATGATTTATATGATGATTTAGTGGATCTTTCATTTTCCACATTTGTTATCATAATCAACACCAATACACTCTTAGAAGTTTAATGAGGACTTGCTGCATTATGAGATTGTGTTCATCCTTCTTTTTGACTTCCTTTTCCAATCTCTGAATCTGATTCTCATGTTGGACAAGGGTTTTCTTGATCAGCTCGTTTGTGGAACTGATCATGTCTTCATGGATTTTGAGCATTGTAGAGGGGATCCCAACGTGGTGATCTAGGCTGGAGTTGTACTTTTGTTCAACCTCTTCCAAAGTATGCTTGAACTGCAAGGAGATAAGTTGATCGAGTTGTTCAGCCCTTTCAGTATCCAAGGGCCCAAGTTTCTTCATTTCAGAAAGAAACTTGAGAATAGTGTAAAGTTTAGTGTCAAGGCTGGAGACCTTGGCATCAATCTTGGAATCTAGCTTCACCACAGATTGGTATAGTGACTCCAAATTGGACACAACTACAACAATGTTGTCTCGGAGTTCCAACAAGGCAAATTGATCAACAAGGTTTCTTGAAGATGATCAAGTGACCGAGGTGGAACTCTCAGACTTATCTTTATCACCACCTTTGTTGATTGAAGGTTAAGAAGGAGTAGCATTGTTCTGTGTTTGATTTTAGTGTTATGGACTTGGTCATCTATTTGAATTTTTTTCATTAACAGGCTTCGGTGAAGATGACGTCAGTCCGAAATCAAGATAGGTCTTGATAATGAGGGATTTTGCAGAGAGTGAAATAAAGAAAAGAGCATGGGAGTGGCAATGGATGTGTTTCATCATCGAACATGAACTTAGTGGAATGTTCTTCTCTAGGGTCAGGATGTAAGGCATCATGAAGAGGAGACTGCAGAGGATCGTCTGTGATGATTATGGTTTGGGGAGCTTCTCTTGATGCAAACTCTTGTTCTATTACAGCATCTATGGGAGGAATAAATGTCATGTTGCTATCAATGTCTCACTTTCTCATGGAGACGAGAGTCGATTTAATTTGAGAACAACTGAGCTCTGGATGTCTTGTGTGAGCCCTGTTGACATAATCAATCCAATTTGCATCGTTAGAACCTAGTTGTCCTTTACCCGA